GCCAAACAGGCTTTCAGGGTGGAGGGAAACATATCTCACCCGTAACAGTGACTCAAGGATCTAGAGGCCTCTGTTAGGTAGGCTCATACGCTTTGACCCTGCCAAGTTCAGGGAGTAGGGGGCCGAGCCCATCAGCATTCCTCCAGGGCCACGCCAACAAAGGTAACCTAAGAACAAGCTGGGTAACTAGTAGGGCCAGGATCCTCCTAGGTGCCCCCTTGCTGTATTTTTCCCTTCTGGGAAATTCTTGAAACTCAGGTGACTCACTGGCTCTTTCTTTTGTGCCAAAGATGAATAAATGTTATCCCTCTTAGCCTAACTAGAGCCTGGTCTCCTCCCTGCTCTCTCTTTTGCAAGCCTCACCTGAGCCCAGTCATGCCTGGCCACATCATCTCAGAGTGATCCTGGGGTCAGCTTACCTGAGGCTTCTGACCTTCATTATTGCTGATTAGCATGATTTCGAGAACATGGAGTTCTCCTTAGGAGAGGGTTGTCAAATTTAGCAACTAAAAATACACCTGGTATGAATTTCAGATAAACAATGAATATCATTTTAATATACATATGTCTCATATATTGCAGTTCCTCAAAAAGTTAAACATAGAATTCTCATATAATCCAGCAATTTGACTCCTAGGTCCAAGATTATTAAAAACATATGTTCATATAGAAACTTGACCGTGAATGTTCATAGCAGCACTATTCACAACAGAGGTTGGCAAACATTTTTTGTAAAGGACCAGATAGTAAATATTTTAGCCTTTCTGGGCCCTATGGTCTCTGCTTCAACGACTTAACATTGGCATTAGAACACCAAAGCAGCCACGTACAATGCATAAATAAATAGACATAGCTGTGTGCTACAAAATTTTCTTTATGGATACTGAACTTTGAATTTTATTTAACTTCTACATGTCATGAAATCATCTTCTTTTGACTTTTCCCCCAACCACTTAAAAATGTAAAAACCATTCTTAGGTGACAAGTTGTCCAAAAACAGGTAGGAAGCTAGATTTGGCCCATGGGTCATAGTTTGCCCACATCTGACCTAAAGCAGAAGACTCACTTTTGACTGAATCCAAATCAGCAGAGGATTTGTACAAATACAGATTGCTGGGCCCCACTCCCAGAGTTTCTCATTCAGTAGGTCTGGGGCAGTGCCTAAGGATTTGCATGTGTAAGAAGTTCCCAGGGGCTGCTGATATTGCTGATTGGAGACTCCACTTGGAGACCCCTGCCCCAACACCAGCTTTTCTATCTGGGGTATTTTAAAGCCTTCTCAGCCTCAGGAAAGATTTTCCATGGATCACAAATTATATCTTCACTGAAGGGAACTTCGCTCTCAGTAAGAATTTCTCTGTGCACCTGCTACTGGAATTTTCTCTTTTAGCTAGCCTTAGAGTTTCTAGTGCATTTGGTTTTTAAAAAACAGCCCTCTCCCCGATTACTAAAAAAGATGCATTTAAAAATCTTTTATTTTGGAAAAATTTTAGGTTTACAGAAAAGTTGAAAAGAGGGTATAGGGAGTTTCCATATACTCCTCGCCCAGTTTTCCTTAATGTTAACATCTTACATTACGTTTGTCAAAATAAGAAATCCAAATTAGCAAAGTACTATTAACTAACGTCTAGACTTTATTTGAATTTCAAGTATTTTCCACTCATGACCTTTTTATGTCCCACAATTCCAACCAGGATATCACATTATATTCAGCTGTCATGTCTCCTTAGATTTTTCTGGTCTGTAACAGTTTCTCTTTATTTCCTTATTTTTCACAACCTTGACAGTTTTGTAGAGTACCGGTCAAGAATGTTACTCAATTTGATTTGTTTAATGATTTCTTTATCATTAGTTTGGGTTTATGGGCTTTCCAGAAAAATACTGCAGGAGTCAAGTTCCTTCTCATCACCTCATATCGGGGTACACATCGACATTCTCATTGGTAACGTTAACACTGATCACTTTGTTAAGGTAGTTTTTACCAGTTTTCTCAACTGTGAAGTTATTTTTCTATACTCATCTCTTTGGAAACTGGTCAATAATTCCAGCCTACACTCGGGGGGGAGGGGAAAGTATATATATTGCTTAGAATTCTATAAGAAAAATCTATTTCTTCTCCCCCATTTATTTATTCAGTAATTTACATCAACATGGGCTCTTGTATATTTATTTTATACTTTAGGTTATAATTCAATAATATATTATTTATTTGTTGCTCAAATAATTCAGTTTTGATCTTTTTTTTAACACTTCCATCCTTTCCAGCAATACAAGATGCTCCAAGCTTATCTGTCATATTCCCTGCCTCAGCCCTAGAATCCACCATTTTTCCAAGGAGCCCTGTTTTCTCTCATTAGACAGTGGATTTAGGAGTCCAAATCTGGGTGCTAGGTATGCTCTTTGTTGTTCGAATTGTTTTTTTTCTTTCTTTCTTTTCTTTCTTTCTTTCTTTCTTTCTTTCTTTCTTTCTTTCTTTCTTTCTTTCTCTCTCTCTCTCTCTCTCTCTCTCTCTCTCTCTCTCTCTCCTCTCTCTCTCTCTCTCTCTCTCTTTCTTTATTTCTTTCTTTCATTTAGGCGAGGCAATCCTTGGTTGACCTAATAGATTGCAAGGACCTTGTCAATCCCTTACTTTTTAATTTTTTATGCCTACAGCACCTGGTCTTCCTAGGTGGTCTCCCATCCAAGTACTAACCAGGCCCGACCCTGCTTAGCTTCCGAGATCAGACGGGATCGGGCTTATTCAGGGTGGCATGGCTGTAGACTATTTTTTTATTTTTTAAATAAACAATTCAAACAATAAGGAAAAGTTTAAAGAATTAAGTAAATAAGCCCCTAAATTCCATCATGAAGATATGAGAAAGTTTCACATTTGTAACTGTCCTTTTAAATCTCGATACATATGACATCTGCCTATGCTTGCTAGACAGCCACTAGTGCACGTGTTTTTTTCATGCCGTACGTACTTTTCTATAACTTGCTTTATAAACTCAATATGTTATGGACATCTTTCCATATCTATGAATGAAGCTCTACTTCATTAATTTTAATGGCTGCCTTTTTCCATTTCATGGTATATTATAATTTATTTCACCAGCCTCTATTAATGGACAATTAGGACCTTAGGATTTTTAGAAAAAAATCTGTTTTATGTTTTTTTCTGCACTCTGTTGATTATCTCCTTGGAATAAAAGAATTTTATTTTGGACCAAAAGCCTTGACATTGTTTACCTTTTGTGTGTGTGCTATTTTCATAAACATAAATTTTAAAACTTTAAAAATTAAAAATGTAATAATGCTCATTGTAATAAATCAAACAGTGCAGATGTGTATGAAGTAAAAAGAGAAAACATCTGCCCTCCTAAGAGGTAACCACTGTAACCCTTTGGTGTAATTGCTAAGAGTGTGGATTTGGGAGTGAGACCATCACAAATTTCACTATAAACTATTTACTGTGTGATCTTGGGCAAATGACCTGACATCTCTACACTTCAGAATCCTCATTTTAAAATGAGGATCACAATAGTACCTATTCCACCAGTTAGTGAGAATGAAATGAATGATATATGTAAAAGGGCTTAGTGCAGTTTCTGACACAAAATAAAGGCTCAATAAACTCACGCTAGTATTATTATTGTTACTATTATTACAGTTATTTCTAGGTATGTATATTTAAACTTTTAATATCAATTGTTAACTTGCCCTTCTGGCAGATTCTGAAGACTTGATCTAGATCCCTTAATTAGTATTTTCCAAAGAAGGGTACTCAGATTGATTCAGAACCTCTGGGGGTAGAATCCAGGAAACTCATGTTTATAAAGTTCCTCGAAGGATTCTGATGTCCACTAAAGTTGGAGAATCATTGTCTTGGAACTAAAAGGCTGAGAAAGGGAAAGGGATGGAACAGTGGTAGAAGGGGTCAACCGTGGATGGTCAAGGCTGACATTGGGAACACTGTACCAAGCCTGAGACAGCGTAGTGGAGGGGTTGGCTTCAGTTCTGTTCTCAGAAAGACCTGGGTTTGAAGCACAGTGACTAGTGTGGCCTTAGGTCATGACCCTGCTGAGCCTGTCTGGCTCCCTCCCTCTCCTACTTTAAGTCTTTGACAACTGTCACTTTTTTATGCTAGGCTTTCCCTGGCCACACTATTTTAAATTGCCTCCTCCCCCACCCCATCCCTGCTCTATTTTTCTCACTATCATTTATCACCATCTAATATACATCTATTTTATTCATTTGTCTTCTCCACTAAAAGTAAAGCTCCACCAAAGCTTTGTCTGTTCTATTGATGTATCCACTGTCCCTAAAACAAAGCATGTCACCTAACAGGTACTTAATAACTTTGTGTATGAATAAACCCACTGATAAAAAAGAAGATATATCTATTTCATAGGGAGATAGTAGGGCTGTTATGAGTATTAATGAGATAATACATTTAATACTCATTCCAACAGTGTCTAGGCACATTCTAAATGAATTACTTTTACCCTCCAGCTTTTTTGTGGTATAATTGACAGATAAATTCACTGGCTTACTATTAACCTAGGATGCTTCCAGGTTGACTGAGCCCCGAGAAAGGGATGAAGGGATCTCGAACTTTTCTTGCAGATTTTTACTCTTGATCAGCTCCCTTTCCCCTAGTGTCCCTTGGGTCATTCTCCCAGAGGAGTTCCGGGTTCCTCAACAATTAATCGAAGACAAGTCTAACTGGTCCTTCCGCACAGAGAATAGGAGAAGCCGAGCCCTAACTTTGACCAAGAGTTACTCCCCTACTTTCCTCAGTAGGTGACTAGAAAGGGATTTCAATAACAACAGCCGCCTCTATCATCTAGTTTGATGCCACCATCACAGCAGAAAAAACCCGTCTACTGACGAGGCTTTCGGAGGGCGAAGGTACGGTGGGAGTGTCATCCCTTTCAGCGCAGGCACGTTCGTGCTCAACTCCGCGACTATCGCGATAGACAAGCGAGATCGGCGCTGGCCCTTTAACAGCCCCTTCCCGGGGGCCTGCCCCGCGCGTGCGCACTGTGGTTCTGCGCTTGTCATCATGGCGACGCGGGGCCATGTGCAGGACCCTAACGACAGGCGCCTCCGGCCCATTTACGGTGAGTGCCTGAGGCCAGTCTGGTCGCCGGCCGAACGCGCCAAGGGCCGCCGAGGCCAGGGCAGGGGCCCAAGAGGGGCGCTGAGGGTACGGGAGCGGGGCTGGCGGGCGGCGGGGGCGGGCCGCGAGGGCCTCTAGGCCGCAGCCACCCGCCTCGCGTAGGCGCCGGCAGGGCCTTCCTGAGCCCTGAGGTGGCAGCGTTGCGGTCGTGGCAGCGGCGTGGGTCGTGGCAGCGGCAGGCCGGTAGAGCAGACCCGACAGGCAAGGATGCGTTGTTAGAGCCACACCAAGGGAGACCCGAGATCTTTCCGCAGGAGGAAGCTGGCTCCGGCGACAGTGTGGGACACCCTACTTGAGGGAAAATTCCCCACCAAAGATTTTTTTACGTACGGGGCACGGGGCCTAGAGGCTCGTCCGACTAGCTGTGCTCGGTGCACATGAAGAAACAGAGGTCCAAAGAAGGGAAGGGGCTGACGCAAGGTCACCCGGATCGAGTCAGGAGCAGGCCGGATTCGAGGCTCCCAATCCAGAGGTCTTTGGTGGAGAAACAGCTGCTCTGGGCACACGTGGGAGGCAGGAGTTGGGGCGCGGGAGTAGGGGGTGGTCTTGGGCCCAAAATAGCGGTGAAGAGACTGGTAGCTCCTGTCGGGGGGGCTTGCAGGGCTGCTGCAGGGCTTTTTGTTTTCTGCAGCTTCTCTGTTATTTTTTTATTTTTTCCTTTTCTTTTCCTGCAGCTTGCCTTCGCGTGCTAAGTGGAGCCCCCTCCATAACGCTTACCTCAACCCACAGGTTTTAAGACGTTGATGTCATCCTGCTACCCTGGTTGTGAAAAGTCACAAATTTGAGTCAGGGAGAAACACCTTTTCAGTAATCGAGGTGTTCTGTAATTGGACAGTGGTCTCTTTTGCATGTCCTTTCCTCTTAGATGGTTGTATGGTCTTGGTCTCAGTTAATAGTGAGGAAGGCTTCAAGGTCAGTGGTTTTTGCAAACTTAGACCTTGTGTTTCTAGTGTGAATGTTACTAAATGGAGACATCATTTAACTTTTTTGGGGCAGGGGTAACTTTATGTTTCTGGCACAGTAGGTCCTGCTTTTATTTCGTAATTTGTATGATGCTTTGCTCTCACATTTGATTCTAGCAACAACCCTGTGAAATGGGTAATAATAATAGCTAATATGTATAGAGTGCTCATTATGTCAGTCACTGTTCTTGGCTTTTTCATATATGGGTTATCTCAGTCTTCACACATTCTCATGAGGTGAGTAGTTTTTTCCAGTCCCACCAATCCTCCTCAGCTTTTTTCACAGATGAGGAAACTGGGGCTTTACTGATGTTGTGTAATTTGTCTAAAGTCACTCAGCTACCTTTTGTGGAGCTAGGATCTGAACCTCTGTGGACTGTCCCAGAATCATCTTAATCACTGTGCTAGAAACCACCTCACTTTGAGCTGAAGACACTGACTTGCCAAAGGTCACACAGGTAGTGAGTGGTGGAGATAGGACTTTGATTTTCATTTCCCTAGGACTGCATATGCTCATGCCCTCCAGTATATATTTTCAGAGGGCAGGGATGAAATACACAAGGGTGACTGAGGGAAAGAACTGAATTCAGGGTTCACAATTTGTGGCCATTAACAGCTCTGCTCAGCAGCTGCCTGCAGACTTCTATTTTCTTTTTTAACTAAAAAGAGTCAATGCTTTTAAGAATAATTGGATTTCTAATATTGTCTTCGAGGACCAAAGAAAATGCCTTTAGTGTCCCATAAATCATTTAGAATTAATAGTGTTTTGAACTATCCGATAAGAAAAACCTTGTCCATTTCACATTGCTAAACATCAGGATATGTTAATCAGAAGTAACATGTCATATTCTCATAAATGAAGCCAGAGTTATGTTGCTTTTATTATAATTAGAGGGGAAGAGGATTAGAAGAGGCTATCTTTAGGAATTCCAAGGCAATTAATAGAAACTGTCTAGAATGGGAAAAGAAAAGGTAGTGACTGTCCTCGACTTCAGCACTTTCGACTTTGACCTCCAGACTTTGGGACAACCCTGCTTTTGTGTTTAAATGCGTTAGTGCCTCAAACCACCATTGTTTCTTGAATTCAGACATTTATTACCTGATAAATAAAAAAGCTCACTCATGATGATGCTTGCCCACCAGCCAAAAGTTCAGCGGACTGTTAGCGTTGAGTGCTTATTTGTGTGCTAACTATCCTATTAGGTAGGTAAGATTATTGTGGTAGTAGTGAACTGGAGGCCAGAGATTAACTTGCTCAGAGTTGCAGCTAGTAAAACTAGAGCTGAGATTTGAACACGGGCATTCTCACGGGAGAGTCCAGCCCTTTACCAAGTTCAATTTCAGGAACATTACTGTCTTTGTGTAGCATTATTTGTATTGCAAAGGTTTTAGGATTTTATAACTGTTGGAAACCCTCTTAGTGATCTCAACTCTTGCTGAATATTGTTGAGGGTAGAAACAGGGTTATGAGGGTGAATAATTGTAAAATTGTGGGTTGAGATGTGGAGAAATTCTATTTTTGGTGTCTAGGTTTGGTAAAGCTTTTCTGTGCAGAAATTTGGTTGGTTGAAACATCTTCAGAGTGCATCTCATTACTTATAAATTGGTAAGTTTAGGTGTTGCATTCTTGGTTTTTGAAAACCACTTGTGACCTTACTAGAACATCTACTTTATTCCTTCTCTTTTTGCTAAAATGATTCTCTTGTGCTTTATAGTTCTCAACATATTTTTTACTCTTATGTGACTTTCTTCTACCATTATTATTCATTTAAAAATGTTTTTAGTGTTTAGGGGGAGGGGAGGGAGTGGGAGTGATGGTCAGGTATGGCACTGAATAAGTGTGTAGGATACAGGAATTGCTAGGTCAGCAATTGCAGAATAGAAATAGAAAAAATTAAAAGAAAAAATATTCCCATAGTCTTTAGATTACACACCCATTTATATTTACTTTTCTGGCACAAGATCCTTTGTACTAATCTGTCTTTCTACCTTGCAGTCTTCCTCTAGTCTGGATCAGGTGTAACGTATTTCCCACCTGTTTCCTGATTGATAATCACTTCCTTGGTGAGTTAGGACATTTCCCTTCAGTGCCTGGCCAAACTCCAGGTAATTAATTATTCTATAGTTCATTAGTAAAAACTCCCATATCTTCAATAGAATGTAGTATTTATTCTGAGGCATCTATTGGGCCATTGTGATTTGTGTCCTTCCTGTTTTGCCCCAGGAGTGAGTAGCAGGGTGTCTTGGTTAGTGAAGACTATCTTGCCTTTCTGTAGAAAAGTCACTTGACACAACTTTTTTTTTTTCCTGAAATTATGACCATTTAAAAAAGCTCTGATTTAGACTTTTAAATTCTAAAAACATTTTAAACTTAAAGATTTTAACGCACAGACAATTCCTGGAAGACTACATATAGTAAAGGGTAGTTGGAACATAGGTCAAGATTAAGAGACTAATACTTTTCATGTTATATCTTTATGAACTGTTTGGATTTGTTTCAAATCATGATCTCTGTTATTTTTGTTATTTAAAAAATTGAAGAGATTTTATAAAAAGTTAAAATGTTTTGAAAAATCTAATAGTGGGAAGCCCCATCACTAGGAATTAGTTCTTGGAACTTCTTGTTGTAGTCTTTTTGTATGTAAGTATGTAACTCATTTCTTAGACTACTCAATTTCCAGAAGATGGTCCCCCACCCATCCAGTTTGTTCATTTATATATTCCTTTCTTGGTTCAACTTATTTATTGAGGGCCTGATATGTGCTAGGCACAGTGTAGATGCAGGGAATGAATGAGTATGGAACAGCACACACATGATTTCTGCTTTCAAGGAACTTATAATTTCAGATTTTTTAAATGATAGTAAGTACATTTGTGCTAGGAATTCTGAAGGAAAAGTCCAGGTTGCCAAGAGAGCATAGGATATGGGCATCTTGGCTGTTGGGGACAAGTCAAGAATAGGTTCCCTGAGGAAGTGACATTTTACTCTGGACATGAAGAAAGAGCAGAAGTTAGGGATGAAATGGGGGAGGGAGTGGAGAGAGTGAGTGTGTAAAAAGGAGCTTGTTCCACTTGAAGACTAAGAAAATTCTTGTATGGTTGGGACGCAGAGATGAGTGAGATAAAACTACAGAGGTAGAGGGACTCCGAGCTTTGTAAGCCATTTTAAGGATTTTGAAATTTGTTGTAAAGACAATGGGAAGCACTGAAGAAATTTAACCGGAATCGGGTAATCAAGCTTGCATTTTTGAAAGATAGCTCTGAATACTCTGGGGGGAAATAATTTTAAAGAGGGCAAGTGTAGGATGCGAGCTGATCAGTTAGGAGGCATTGTTCATTTTTAAATTCACCACTCCCCATCTTGCACATAGTAGGTATTAAACAAAGGCTTGTTGACTGAAAGAATGTTTCACCTACCATTTGTACTGGTAAAAGCAAGGATCCTATTCACAAACATTCAGGTTTTTTAATCAAAGGACACAATAATATAACTATAGAGCTAGTATTCAGTCCTTTTCTAAATTGGAGAAATATCTTCAGTAGTCTCTGAAGCTCTTACAGGAAGTGGAAACAGTACAGGTTGTCATTTCAACCTCTGGAGACTTTCCACAGCAGCTGTATTTGCAAGACTGAGCCCTTTTTTTGTCAGTATCCCTAAGTGTTATTGGACAAATTCATTCCAGGGCCTCTTCAGGGCAAGTAGACAGTAGGCCTGCGTGTGTCGGGGCTTGCTGCTGTCTGTCTGCAACTGCACCAAAGAGGAGCTTCTGTGGAAGTATTACCTGGGAGGGCGGCTTGCTCATTTATTCAACAAATTTTGATAGTCCCTTGCCAGTGATTTAACCCAATGTTTCCCAAATTTCTGCATTTTTTGACCCAATCTGATGATTTTAGCTTTAGTATACTATTATGCATATTATCATTTACTTAATATTTTTCTCTAAGTTGACTTTTAAACTTAAATTTATTTAAAAAAATGTCATTACCGTTAATGGAAAATCTGTCACTTGCTGTGAGAAAACAAAACCATAAAAATAAGTACAGTGAAAACGAAACAATGTTATTAATGTCTTAATTAGATTCTGATACTTGTGAAACTGAGACCTGTTCCTTCCCTGTTTAAAAAAAGACAGCAAGAATTAAGTGGACAGGCTAACACCAAACTGAGGCTATCTCCTTAATAGAAAGGAAATATTAGAAAAGAGATCAACTTTCTCACTGTATTATCTAGTGCTGTCTGCAAGGACCCCCTAAAAAACGTTTCTGTTGGTGTGGTACCCATGCCTTGAAAAACATTGCTTTAACTGATTCATCATCATCTTATTGTTTCCTCTGTGTGATTTGTGGGTGACTGATTTTGGTTTACTCCTGTTATTAAGGGAAGAACACCAATCTTTATGGTCAAGCCACAATTACCCTTGAGTAAGTTTTAAAGACTTAACTAAAAAAGACGGACTTATTATATTATTTTTATTGGTCTGTTTTCTCCAAGGACTACATAATTTATGTTCCAGAATCAATAATATAAAATGAAAATAACTTTTCCCAAAAAGCTCAGCAACCAATTAGTCAGTAGTCACTGAGGGAGGTATCCAGGAAAGGGGAGCCTGACAGCAGTGTCTTAGTTAAAACTCTTTTGGGTACAGGGAACAGAAACTCACTGACATCAGCTCAAGTAAAGAGGGGTTGCTGTAAACCCTTGTGGGCACCTGAGGCAGAAAATGCAGTGTTCTAGGGTCTCACAGAAACTAGAAAGCTGTCAGGATCTAAAGCTTCTTTCTCAAATGTTCATCTCTGCTTTTATCTGTGTCTGTTCTTTGTTTGGTTCTTCAGACTGTTTTTTCCAACTTACTCATCAGTTTACCCAGAGCCTAACATGTTGGCTCTGTGGCCACGCCAAGCTGTGGCTAGAGGATGGAGAGGTCATTAGCCTTTCCCCACAAGCTTAATTAGCACTGCCCTTCCTTCAGTTTTTCGATAAAGATAGTTGACATTTTTCATTCTTTTATAAATATTACGTGAATGAAGAGTCAAGGGAGAACTCCTTTTCTTCACTCACCATCAACCAACTTGCATCCCCTAAGGCTCCTTCAAAATGGAAATTCCAGAGCTGCTGCTGGTAACCTCAGACTCATATTTATTGCCTTCCAAATGAGCTTTATTTTAGCTTTCCCAGAGCTTTCTGACTCCGGCTTTCAGTGTTGCAGTTACAGATTACCTGGCAGAAACCTTATTTATCCAAATTAGGTCAAATGTCCACTCCATTGGGCTACAATTACATGGTCTGGACATAGTCATCCAGTCCTTCCCCTTTAGCAGAGGCAGTGGAAACTGTTCCCAGAGAAGCGGACATGGGCAGGTAGGAACAATAATTTCAGAGCCTTGTCAACTACAGGAAGTTAAGTATCCTTACGGTGCTGACCCCTGCCTGGTCTGATCCGTTTATGGACAGGTCTGCAGATATGGAGTTTCATCAAAGATGTCTACTCGTTGAGAAGGCTTCACGGTATGTTCTATAAACCTGGAGTTTTTGCAGGGCTGAGTCAGCAGTAACTAGAACTGACTCAGAATGAGATCAGCATCAAGTCTTTAGGAAGAGAAGGTGTCATTGAGCTGCACTTTCTCTGTCATAGTCTATAAAGGACAAATGAAGGCCTGTTGGCTAAGCTAAGGATTTAAGAAAATGAGTATTAGATATTTGGGTATTCAGGACAAGATTGTATGCTTTTAGAGTTCTGTGATTCTCCGATCTCTCTACCGGAGTACTAAGTCTTTGATCTTCCTTTCTAGGTTGTGATTCCCTCCACAGTAGGGCTCTTTTTCTTTTTCTTTTTTGAATTTTTATAGAGTATTTGAGCCAAACTGACAACATTTGCCAAGGAGCAAGATCTCAGATGCTCTGGCCACAGTAAGGCTCTCTTTGACTTTCTTCCCTGGGTTGTGATTCCCTCCACAGTAAGGCTTTTTAATCTTTTTACATAACATTATAGGTGCTTATCAATATTAAGCGTAGTGAAGACTGAAGAGATGAAACTCAAGTGTTCATGTGGCTGTTAAAAGTTTTAGTGAAGTATTCATTGGAGGAAAATTGAACCCATTAGGTAAAATGATAGTCTATTTCTGTTATTTGGGATACTCCAGGCCACCAGGGCCATAAATTACTTTGAGTTGTCTCAGTCTCCTCTGTCCCTATGCTGATTTGGGACCTTGATGATCAAAGAGAGACTAGTAGTGGTAGCAGATTGTGAACTGGTTTGTGTTCCATTATCTTTCCATATTCAGAATCAACAGCTACCACCCTGTTTCTCACTTAAAATACTTTTCATTTTTCTTCTCTGCGAAGGAATCTTTGCTTTTATTATTTTTAAATTTAAATTTGTTTTTAGAGCAGTTTTTGGTTTACAGAAAACGAGCATACAGTACAGAGAGTTTCTCTATATCCCCACACTCTTCTCCTTTCCCCCAGTTTCTCTTATTATTAACATCTTGCATTAATGTGATATATTTGTTACAATTGCTGAGTCAATATGATATGTTATTAATTAAAGTACATAGTTTACTGGTTTACATTAGGGTTCCTTCTTTGTGTCGTACATTCTGTGGATTTTGACAAATGTACAATAACGTGTCTTTATTACAGTATCATACAGAATAGTCGCACTGCCTTAAACTCTACCTATTCATCCCTCTCCCAACCCCTGGCAACCACTGATTGTTCTATTGTCTCTAATTTTTGCCTTTTCTAAATGTCATATAGTTGGAATCATATAGCACGTAGCCTTATCAGATTGGCTTCTTTCACTTAGCAACATGCATTTAAAGTTCTTCCGTGGTTTTTTGTGGCTTTATGGCTCATTTCTTTTTTATCGCTGAGTAATAATATTTCATTGTATGGTTGTACCACAGTTTGTTTATCTGTTAACCTATTGAAGGGCATCTTTGTTGCTTCTAAGTTTTGACAGTTATGAATAAAGATGCTATAAACATTGCGTGCAGGTTTTTGTGAGGAAGTAAGTTTTCAGCTCATCTGGATAGATATCAAGGGGCTCAGTTGCTGGATCGTTTGGTAAGAGTACGTTTAGTTTTCAAAGAAGCTGTCAAACTGTCTTCCAAAGTGGCTGAACCAGTTTGCATTCTTACCAGCAAGGAATGAGAGTTGCTGTTGCCCTGTCATTTGTCGTTGCTCTCTCATGGTTGCAAAATAGATTATTTTGAGTTTTCTGTGCCTGGTCTGTCCCTACGCTAAAAGAGGGACCTGGTAGTTGTAGCAGGTTGTAGCTGGTCTGTGTTTAGTCATCTTTCTATATTTAGAATCAACAGTTACCACTGTTTCCCATTTAATACACTTCTCATTTTCTTTTAGATCTTCTCATCTGGAAATGAATCTTTGCTTTTGTTAGACTTTTGAATAATAATCGATTACTCTCCACTCTCCCCTCTTCTCCCCCCCCCCTCGCCCCTTAATGCAATTTTGTAGCAGGTCTCCATATTCCCTAAAAGCCAGAATGGATATATAGCTTAGAGAACCTAGAAGTCAATTGTTCTTCAAGGTCAGTGCTAGTTTATATTTTTGCTAGAGTGTTTGAAAGTTTAGTTTTCTTTGCATCCTTTCCCACTCCTGATATTATTGGACTTCATCTCTACTGCCTCCACCATGGGTAATCTTTCTCTTTTCTTCAGCGAAGAACACTTAACTCTGTGATAAAGGAAGTACTCAGTAAAGATTTTATTGAAAGAACATAATCTATTTGGTAGATTTAAAGTTTGAATATTAGAAAGCGTTCTTTTTTAAAAATATATTTTAATTTTGGGGTGACTAAACCTATTTATTTCCCACAGGTAAAGATATTAACGTCATCTGTCATCTAAATATGTTTGCCTTGAGTCTTCCTTAAGGATTAATATAACTGGATTATATGGCTTTTGGATGAAAGAGGACTATAGGGATGGCTGTAAGGTGGTATTTTGGGCTATCCTAGTCGTTTAGTGTTAAAATTGGCTCCATGATGTTTTTACTGCTGTATTGACACTTTCCAAAACATCTGATACCAGCCCGTGCATTTTTCATATTTATTGTGGAAGGAATATAACTACTATAATTTCTGTTTTCATAGATTATCTTGATAATGGTAATAATAAAATGGCAATTCAGCAAGCAGATAAATTATTGAAGAAGCATAAGGATCTTCATTGTGCTAAGGTAAGTTCATTTGATCTTGAGTTACTTATATTTGGTGGGTTGTATATTGTAATCTTTACAGGGAAAAGATGTTTAATCTCTTTAGTTACTACATATGTTTTTTTCAAAGTATTTTTAGACCATTTGTTTTTTTGATCATTTAAGTGCTGTAAATAATATTTAGTTAAAAGCTAGCTATTTCTTTGGGAATAGTTATCTAATTTAATTATTCTGTTTCCACAGAGTCCTTTTAAGCAATGTTTTGCATTCTTAATATACTGAAATAGGAAAGAATCTTGATTTGGTCATATTTTTAGTAAAATGACTTAGTTGATTAGCAACCAAGGCATACCTTACAACTTCTTGTGCTTTCAAATTGGCTTTCTGTGGTTCATATTTCCTTTTCTGTCCTTTTAAACCTGATTTATCTTGTCTTTCTATCAGATTTTAAAGGCAATTGGTTTACAGAGAACTGGAAAGCAGGAGGAAGCCTTCACCTTGGCACAGGAGGTAGCAGCCCTTGAACCCACAGATGACAACTCGCTGCAGGCACTGACTATTCTTTACCGGGAGATGCATCGACGTATGTTTCTTTCCTTCCATTGCTTTTAAACATGAGCTTAAGTTTTTGGATATTTCTAATTGAGTTCTCTGTTTGTTTGATTTACTTATCGCTCGTGATTTGGTGGATGACAAAGGCGACAT